TAGCATTAAGAACAAGAGCTTTGTAACCAAATGTGGTGCAAATTCTGGTTCTGCCACGTACTAACTGTGTGATCTTAAGCAGTCTGACTTGATTCCCTCGGTGCCTTTCTTGTATGTAAAACAGCTTAAGGTTGTAAGACTCAGATAAGTTCCTACGTGCCAAGTGCTTATAGTGTCTGGTACACAGTAAGCACGTATTATTTGCTATTCTTCCTGATTTAGTTCATTATTTATTTTATATTTCCTCCCCCATCTCCTTATTATTAATTATAAAGGGCTGGCAGCTATATAAAATAATACATTTACTTTTTCATGCCCTAATGCCTTTATTAATATTCATCCTACTTAGGACTCTCAAAAAGCTGTCTCCCCTTCTTACCTTGCTAGCTTCTGCTTGCTTCTGAAAGCAGGACGTTTCAGCTTCGACTCCTCCAGGAAGCCTCCCTGACTGCTGAGTCAGACACACCTTTTACTTGTTCCCTCAGCGGCCTCTGTTCACATTCATTAATATACAGATCAAGTAGTCTTTTCTTTTCTTTTTTTTTTTTTTTAGACCTATCTCTCCACGTTTAATAGCTACTTAGTGTTCCATTGCAGGGATGTATCTTATTTACCTCTGGCTGTCTAATTAGATTGTTTCCAGCTTTTCAGCATCATAAACAACACTTAGAACATCTTTATAAATTCACCTTTGTCGAGTGTTTGATCATATTCTTTTGTTTTCATTTTTCAAATAGTCTTAAAGTATTTGGTTTTCTTCCCTGTTTCTTTTGCCACATAGCAGGCTTTGTGAGGTCAGATATAACTTTGTATTTTTCTTTGTACTTGGATCCTTGTCTGGTGCAGGGTAACATGCAGTTCATCTTGGAGTGAAGGCATGAGCAGCTTAAAATTTCCTCTTACAAGTTTCTGTTTGATAACTACAGCATTCAAATAATGTCATCTGTTTTTTTTTTAATCAACTTTTACTTTTAGATTTTCTTCCTTGGAATTATCCTGCTTCCAATTCGTGTCCTATTGATTGCATTCACTTTATTACTGGCATGGCCCTTTGCGGCCATTTCAACAGCATGCTGTCCTGAAAAGCTGACCCACCCAATAGCTGGTTGGAGGAGGTAAGAAATAACTATTTTGGAATGTCATTGTTAGAGACTACATCACTATAGATCAAAAATAGGAGATATGGGAATTCTGTGAAGGGATGAGCTTTTTACCTTTACAGAGATAGAGATCTCAGCTCTAAACTACAGGGCAAGGAGAGACCAGTCATTTCCCTGTGCCCTCTGGAAAAGTACTTTGTCTTTCTGTGTCTCACTTCTCCTTACTGTGAAATAAAAGTTAGAGAAACTTCCTCAGGATCTAGTTACTTAATAGCTCTTCCCTATGTTATTATAAGCATGTTGAGAGAGTTAGGTAGGAGGCCCATTTTTCAAAGCTCTCATGAGATGTCTTACAGAAAACACACATATTTTTCATGAAAAGCTATATGCTTATTCATGGGTGGAGATGTCCACCATGTGTTTCCATTTCTAGGATTATGTTTTTGCTTCTCTGCTCGGTTGAGTTTATCATGGACAGAGACCAGATCTTCTGTGTCTTGTGTGTCCAGCACAGTTCTTGGGACAGTTCGATGAATTAACTCTTCTGTAATGACAGATTCTTTTTAAAGCGTAAACAGTTAGATGTCTGGAGTTAAGTGCGTCTCTGTTCCAGGGAAGGGGGATGGTGAATTTACTTTTTAAGATTCTTGATGATGTCTGTGGGCTGTAATGATATAGGTAACAAGGCTTACTTTTAAAATTTTGTTCCTGAAGTAATTCTGAGGACAATTTCAGGGCTCAAAAAGTGTTTTGGGAGATCATGGCATCTTTGTTACACCAATATCGATTTCCAAGGTGATTCCTTTAAGGGCAGTACTGATTTGGAGTTCTCAGTGGAGGATGCGTGTTGAAAATTCATTTTTATTTCTTTATAGTCAAGAATAATTGAGCCACTTACTAGCCATGTGTCCTTGGGAAAATTGCTTCTCTGGGCCTCAGTTTTCTTGTCTGTAAAATGGGGAGAGTAATAAATGCTAGCTGTTTCATAAAGCTAGGCTAAGAATTAAAGAAATTAATATATTTAAAGTACTTAGAATAGTGCCTGGTGGAAAGAGCTCCACTAAACTGTTAGCTGTTCTTCTTAGCTCATATTTTAAAATGAAGTATTCTGACCTGTTTTGGTTTTTGCATTGTGCTCTAGAGTAAAACCCTGCTATTAGCCACAGTTGGCAAAGCTAATTATGTCTTTTTTTGTTATTTATTTCCAAAGGAAAATTACTCAGCCAGCCTTGACGTTTCTAGGTCGTGCCCTGTTCTTTTCAATGGGATTTAGAGTTACCGTGAAAGGCAAGATCGCAAGTCCTGAGGAAGCACCGGTTTTTGTCGTCGCCCCGCATTCAACTTTCTTCGATGGAATTGCCTGTGTCGTCGCTGGGTTACCTTCCATGGTATCGCGACAGGAGAACATGGAGGTGCCGCTGATTGGCCGTAAGTACTTTGTAAGATAACAAAGATGAAATATGTTCGTGCCTTACATTTAGAATATCATGTATAGTTTATTGGTGTAGACTTTTTAAGAACTTTACAATAATAAAACACTTCAAACATACTTCCTTGCTTTTAATGAGGGACTATTATCAAAAGAATGAACGTATGAAAAAAGATTAAAGGCTTCCTTATCTGTACCCTTATCATCCTTTTAAAATGTTATCCCTGTCACTGTACCATCACTTCTGTCTGCTCTTAAATAAAACCAGAAAGAACAGGTTTTAAATACCAAACATGGTAGATTTTGTGGGGAGAGAGAATTTAATTGAAGACCTTGTGAAAGCACTGGTTACATGCTATTTCAGTGAATTTCTCTTCGGGGTATTAGGCTGATAAATGCACTAAGTCTTTTCTCCTAATTCTGTTTGCTTCCTTATTGCCCCCAAACCTCCATGGGGGACCAGTGTAACTCTTTGAAAATTATGATGCGGAACAATAAATGCTTCCTGCTGTAAAAGATAATGAAGCAAGTGAAATGTTTTTTGTCCACCAAATGCTTTGCTGTCTCTCCAGAGGATTAGTCTCCAAGTAACAGCTCCTAGTTGTCCCAAGGTTATTGCCAAGCACCAAGTGATGAGAAAGTGGGTGTGAAAATTGCCTCATGTTGCCTTGGTGGAGTAATAGTAGTTCTTAGAGCTTTGTCATTCAGTTGAGAAAGACTCACTCACTCTCTCTTTTTTTTTTTAGGGTAACCACCTTACTTTGTGTAATATGACACTTTCCTGAAAAGTGGTTTAGCAATAGATTTTTGGTAAATTGAGGTTTATGTTGCATGTGCTGGGAAGCTAACTACTTAGAAGATTATTGCACTGAAAATTTTAGTGAGATAACTAATAATTGCCCCCTACCCGTATGTCCTGTGACTTCACGTAATCAGTTTGCAGGATATTCCCAAAATAAAGCAAGATAATCTTACAGTATATTCCAAACATTTAAAGTCAGTTGAAGAAGAAGTCTTTTAAGGAGAAAATTGCGTTTGTTGCTTTTCAGATTCCTGCTGCTAATTTCTGTTAAATCGATGAAATATATTTAGGTATAGATATCTACCTGTCATTTTGAAACTGGAAGCTAAATTCCAATAAACTTTGAATTAGAGGTTTTTTTTAAAGTTATTCTCTTTGATTTGCTGTCATTTTAACTTTCCATAAAATTTGTTTTATAATTTATCTGGTATCATTGCTGTAGTAGGCTTTAGCCAAAAAAATGACTTGGTTGTGACTTTTCATTTGTTTTAAAGGTCTGTTGCGGACTTTGCAGCCAGTTTTGGTGTCCCGTGTAGATCCAGATTCTCGAAAAAACACAATAAATGAAATAATAAGGAGGGCCACATCAGGAGGGGAATGGCCCCAGGTAAAACAGATAAAAGATATTTATTTAAGTATATTGAGAGTTTTACTGGTTGTGCGTTTGTATACACGCTCATTTGTATCCACAGATAGCAATGGGACAGGGAGCAGTCTTTGCTAGATGTCTTTAACATAATAGAAGCAGAATAAATGAGTATTAAGAAATCCTCTTCCCCATAAAATATTCTATGGAATTGAATGTATCATTCTTTTTTATACTCCAGACTCTTTGAAATGGTTTTTACTTTCTCATAAAAAGTACTTCTCTACCTCTGAATGTATTTACTGTTTTACAGAGGAGATACTGGAGCTGAGTTATCCTCCACAGTATGGTGGGTTTATTGAAAGTGGTGAAGATCTTTAATCTTTCTCGGAAGTATATCTAGATTGTGCGTATCTAGATTGTGCTTTATAAGTTCAGAGAGCATATCAGAATCACCTGTAGACTTTTTCAAATTTTCCCGTCCTACCACCTCCTTCCCCTGGAATGCTGTTTGAAGGTGTGGAAGAGGGGCAGCACTGATTGCCTAAAGAGAGCCTCATGAGTGATGCTGATAAGCGTCCCTCTACTTTGCCCAGGACTTTGCTCATGGTCCTGCAGGGAACTCGCCACCCATGATGATGGGTAGATGTTAAAGTACAGAGATGAGTATGACCACCCAGGAGGTTTTAGAAACCAGGGCATGTGCGGAATGATTTAAAAAGTGACTGGGAAGAAATGGCATTTGGAATAAGGGTTTGATTTTGTTCTTTGGACCCAAGGAATAGATCTAGGACTGGTAGATGAAAGTAAACAAGTAGATTTAAGTTCATTTTGCTCATCTCAAGGAACTTTCTCTCCAGAAGAAGAGTGGTCTGACTTGTAATCTCTTTATGAAATTTTCAGGCATTGGCTAAGCAACCATCTGGGGGGACATTGTAGAAAGAATTCAAGCGATAGAGCAACTACATGACTTTTCATGCCCTTTCCAGCTCTTGAGATTACGACTTACTCTATATTAATTTACTGTTCGTAGTATAGCTGTAGAGTATCCACTGAATGAATCTTATTTAATATTGTATCCAATTGTGATAGGGAACCTTTTTTTTTAATTGGAAGATGGAATTGCACCTATTCCTAATTTTTATTTTGCAAATAACTTATGGTGGCAACATAGCCTAATAATGTTTTCCCTCTCTAATTATTATAAAATGCCCATTACTAACTGCAATGAGTGGGAGGGATTTTTTGTTTTGTTTTGTTCTGTTTTATGTACTTAGCAATTTACTCATTGCTAAATTCTAAAAGCTTCAGAAAACCAAGCTGCTGTTTTATTCAGTTGGGAACTATACGGCATATCTTTTGCATGGAAAACATAAAGAAGTATGTTAAAAGCTAAAAACGTGTCCTCAAAAAAAAAATTACTAAATTGTATTCCATATGTTAATGAATTCAAGTAAGCATAAAACATATGGCAGGCATTTCCTCCATATGTCCTGAAACTATATGTTGTAAGAAGGAATGTCATTTAGTGGGAAAACGGAAACAAAGCAACAGGAAATGCTTTGGTTAAGCATGTGTAGCAGTAGAAGAATTTAATATTGCCTAAAATGCACAATCTGACCATGACTGAGGGTCTACATCTTCTTTTAAGCCTATTCAGATCACTGGCATCGTGATTAGAAACATTTGCTATATGTATTCTCTCTTCAAAGCTTTATTTCATTTTCTAGTTACCTTAATGGTCAGACTACGCTTCTTTTAGAGGAAAACCAAATAATGTGATTCTGGCTTTGACTAGAATCAAGTGTTGGCCTTTTATTTTATTTTTGCTTTATAAAAATTGGCAACTATTTGTGAAGATATAAGAAAGCAAGTAAAGAGGTAATCTATTAATTGGACTGAAATATTAAATCTATTCCTTTTCTCCCAAGATGCTAATTTTCCCAGAAGGTACTTGTACTAATCGGTCCTGTTTGATTACTTTTAAACCAGGTGAGATCAATTAAATTATGTATTGTGACAAAGTAGTATGGAAGATTTCTCAAATGACTTGATAATAAATACACAAAATAACTCATTAGTTTGCTCCGAGCATTTCTTCTTAAATGTTTTCAATGTTGTGAATGCACAGAACTTACTGTGTTACTTTCTCTTTTGATATCATAACCCCTTCTTCCTTAAAGTGTCTTGTGTGTGTGTGTGTGTGTGTGTGTTTGAGCAAAAACCACTGGCAGATTTTTGTTTTCCTACGAGCATACCCTCACAGACACCTGGGGTCCTGTGTCATCAAGTTAGAAAACCTATTTCAATTATCGTTTTAACGCCTTCAATGCTCCTAAGTTTCACTTCTTTTTAAAATATTATGAAGTTGTGATTTTATAGTAATTTGTAATTTTGTATGTCATTTCATGGTAATTCATAATATTTTAAAATGTTTTTGTATTGGCTGCTAGAATGCTCTGAACCAGTTAGGACTCGCTTCTAGCAAGTGTGATAGTTAATGGTTCAAGCATTTGGTTTCACCTAGATTTTCTTCCCTTTACTTTCTCTTTGTATTGATTTGTCATTCCTTTTTTTTTTTTCTAACCATGTTGAATAATAGGTATATGGAAAATGAGAACACATGGAAATATAAATAATATTTTAAGTGACTTAAGCATAATATTTAACCTTCTGCTTATATAATTCTGAATTTAAAAAGTGTCTCATTTTGGTGAACACTAAGGATTTACCAACATTTATCAAATGGTTTATGTGAACTCTTAAAACATTTAGTGTATCATTTATTATTCCTTTTTTATTTATTGTATAACTTATATTCATATAAAGGGCATGTTATAAAATTTCAATGTGTGATTCTAGGAGCCTTCATTCCAGGAGTTCCAGTGCAGCCAATTCTGCTCAGATACCCAAACAAGCTGGTGAGCATCATTTTTTCCTATGGGAAGAATCCCATAATAAACAGTCCAAACAGCACACATTCTCTAGGACCCTTTTTGTTTTACTAAATAAAATAGATGAATAGATAAATGGTGGAAGCAGATGGGAAGACTCATTCTCCTTGCAACATTTAGTTTTTTAAAAGTTTGCAAGATGGGCACACGTTGGTTGATACCAGCTTCACACATTGCTTTTGCTGTTACTAAGCTGCAGGAATATATTTCCCTAGCTTCTCCTCTGTTGTCACTGTGATGGCACAACTGAGTCTCAGATTCAGGGTCTCGTAGAGTGGACGTGAGAAAACTCTCATAGATTTGTGATTTTCGTTCAGCCTAGAAGGAAACGCCTCCTGATGGAGTGGTCATAGTGGGGAATGAGTGAAGGAGCAGGGTAAATTTGGAAGAGGCTTGGTGTTTAATTACTGGCTCAGTACTTAGTAGCTGTGTGATGCTTGGCAAGTAGCAGAAATAAGAAAATATCTGAAAAGGACCTGATATCCTGCAGACAGTCCATGGAGTCTCTTTCGCTCCAGCAAAGTACATTGTCATCTTCTGGATATTGCTCGTGTCACCATTTTCCTAAAGAAAGTGTTTTTCTGGTAGGGGGAGGGACGTGTTGTTTCTGAGGGATTTCTTTGCTAGAGAGTTTACATTAAAAGGCAGGGTGTAATTAGTAACAATGTATGTTGTTTAAGGTTAAGAGTTCTTGATCAGTTCAATTTTCTATCAGTGGCTGATTTCTCAACCTTGGACACCTATAGTTAAAAAATTAAAATTTATCAAATTTGTACTCATTGTACTTCTTCCTATGGGTGTATTCAAATGTATTCAAGTTCTCACTATGCACTACTTCACTACTATAGTCTTTTCTCCCAAATAACCTTTTTTTTTTTTTGAGAACTGGTGTAGTCTGGTTTTTGTAAGCCAATTAATTATCCAGATTTGTTCATGTTAGGAGAAAAATAGTTAGGCATGCACAATCATTTTTTAAAAATTCAGAGCAACTTAATTCTATAAAAAGATAGGTGGTTACCTATGGAAGACAGATCTTTGCCATGTAGACTTATAATCTAAGAACCTATGGATCAGTTCACTGTCGTTTAACAATAATAATATGCTTGTTTTACTTTTCAACATATTGCTTTTAATTTAGAAAGAAATATGAATACCAGTATCAAAATAAGATTTTTATTTTATGTGATATTTTTTCTGTACTAACAGTTTGAATTCTATTGTTATTATAGGATACTGTGACTTGGACTTGGCAAGGATATACATTGTAAGTCGCTTATATTGTTAGTTTATATAAATTTTATTCGAATGAAGAAAAAGAAAAAATTTATTCCTTTTCTTTAAGCCTTGTTTTTGCAGAAGTGAAGATTTCTAATCAGATCCTTAAATTTTGTAATGGGTAACTCTCTGTAGAGCGTAACTGTCATGCCCATTAACCCCCAGTGTCTCCCGTGTGCAGGATTCTAGTCGTCTGTCACGTACTAGTGGGTCTCAAGTGTTTATCTACCAATTCTTAAGGAACATTCCAGTGACCTCATTTGAATTCCACTTAGTTTAAATTTTATAGTTTCTTTTCCATTGAAGATTTAGCATCATCTAGTGTCTCCATCATTATTTTACTATATTGGTTTAAGCAGTCTAGAACAATTTAGTCATACTGCCTGAAGTAGCTGTGATGTGTCTGATTTGAGTTGAGGAAATAGCTCACCATGCTTTCAGTTCTATTCTTGGATTTTGAAAGCCTAGGGATCAGCAATTTCTATAAATATTTAAGCGAGGAGAGGAATTTCAATATTAAGCAAGCTGAAGTGAAATAGACCTTTAAAAAGAACAGAACATGTAGAATCTGACATTCTCTCAAGAAGTTCTCTGGTTTAGTTCCCCTGGATGATACTGAGCCTGTTCAGCTGCCTCCTTTAGTCCATTACCTGCACAGAGAGCGCTGACATCCCTCCGTGCTGACCTCGAGGAACTTGGCTGGCTTTGGGCTACAGAAGAGACAAAAAATAATAATAAACCTTCCCCAAAGTTTCAAAAAAATATATATAGCTTTTTTACATTTCGGATTTGAGAGCTTTCCCAGGGCTTAGGCAGTAATGCCTTCTGATACTGTTACACACAGAGCTCAAATAGCATTGTTGATGGATGCATGACAACCACTTGGAAACATTGAAAAGAAATCATTGTTTGCCTTCAAGTGCATTGTAGACAATGCAAACAACTTTTTTGGGGGGGGGGGTGGGGGGAGGTCATTACGTTTATTTATTTATTTATTTATTTATTTATTTATTTATTTATTGTTTTTTCTTTTTTTAATGGAGATACTGGGGATTGAACCCAAGACTGCATGCGTGCTAAGCATGAACTCCACCATTTGAGCTATTCCCTCCCCTACTTCTGAAAATTAGATTTTTCTTTTTACTACCACATACTTAGTTTCTCCATTTTTTTTTTTTTTGGTGTGTGTAAATTGCTTTGAAATAATGCATTTAAATCAGAATAGTTGGGCCTGGATTTTCTGATTGCATCTGTGGGTTTCATAATGAAAACCTTAAGTTCACATATGTAACATGTATAATAAACATTGACACATGTGAGACATTTACATTCCTGGTATGCTTCAGTCCTTGGTAGGCGAAGTTAAGTAAATAAAACCAAGAATAAAGGGCACAAATTGTAAAGGATATCTAGACATGACGTTACCTTCAGCTCTCCAGGAAATCAGTGTATTCCGTTGGCTAGAATACATGTTTCCTGCTGCCGCTCATTTCGAATTCCTGGTTTTCAGCGTTTGTACAAGGGAAAATGAGGAGAAACAAATAGTATGAGAGTATCTTAGAAAAAGAAGTGCCCAACAATTGAGTGGATAATGTATTTTTATCTCCTGTGGTGTGTCATCTTTGGGACCTTTACAAGTTAAGTCCTTATAGAGAGAGTGATTTGGGGTTCACTGTGACTTTTTGGGGGCTTTGCAGCAGTCCAGCTGGATGTAAAGGTCAAATGGGAGCCTTTTCTGGAAGGGAGACCAAGGGTAAATTAGAGTGGTTTAGTTCATCTGGCCTTCTACCCTGAGACGTGTATGATAGAGGGGGAAAAATGGACTGAATTCAGCAGAGAAAGAGAGGGAAAAAAAAACATATTCAGAGTAAAAGGTTTCTTATAAACAAAGAGAAAATCTAAAGATACAACCTTGTTTTTTCCAAGTGCCACTTCTCACTTACCTGTGGTGACCTCCCATTTCCACCTTTATCTTCTTTTTCATTTATTTTTTTATTGAAGTATAGTCAGTTTATAATGTTGTGTCAATTTCTGCTGTCTAGCATAGTGCTTCAGTCATACATATACATACATATATTTATTTCCATATTCTTTTTCATTATAGGTTACTACAAGATATTGAATGTAATTCCCTGAGTATAAACTTGTTGATCTATTTTATATGTAGTAGTTAGTAATCTGCAAATCTCAAACTCTTAGGAGTTCAACTTTTATCTTCTGACCTACTTCACATTCTACTTGGCACTGCGTCTGTTACTCAATCAGCTTTCTCAGTTCTCCTTGTTTCCAAGTACTACTCTGAACTCAGAGTCTAAGAAAGGGATTTTACACAAAGCAGAGATCCTAGGGAAGAGAGGGCTCGGAATAAATGTCCCGAAGGGGACTCTATGGAAGAGCTGTTTTGTGTCAGTCTATTAAGTGGTGTTTGATTTGTCTGTAGTGTGAGGAAGTCATGTTTAAGGAGATCTTATGTGTGGTTTCATTTTTTTTTTTACAGCATTCAGAATTTTGAGAACTGAATATCTGTTCAAATCATTGAATGCCAACACTCAAGTTAAATAATTAAAGAACAGTTTACTTAATGACAGGCACTATGGATTGACTTTGTGGCTTGGAGTTGTTAGTACAAGATTTTTTCCCTTTCAGACAGAAGGTTTGAGAACCAACACTTACAAGAACACTTTATAATTAATTATGGAATTGGTAAACCTGTTTTCCTAAATTCCTTCTTTTAAGTAAACTCCTTGTTCAAACTCCTAAATTCCTTAAGTTCCTTCAAGCAAGTTTTACAGATAAATCATATTTTAGTTTCTTAATAGCAAAAAATTTTGGTTGGTCGTTTTCTTAAACATATAGTCCAATCTCCTCTGCCTGATTTCTCGCTCATCAGATACATCTACATGAGGCTAAATAAAAATTCTGTAGAAATTTTAACCCTGGAATGCTGCAAGTAGGAACAGTTTCAAAACTTATCTTTGACAGGGGTGGTTATAACCACTTGAAGGAAAGCCTTTGTCTAGCTTAAAAATGAAATTTGAAACTTTTCTGAAAATTTTCAGAAAATTAGCTATGGGAAACATGTTGGTAACTGAGAAAATGATGATAAAGTTTCAGCTTTTAAGGAAAGACCCACTTTATTTTTGGTAATATTAGAAAAGAATTTAGTAATGTGATGTTCTTCTCCGGAGTTTTTCTATGAACACATTAATGTACCTTAAAACGTGGCCTTGGGTAGTTCCTCTAGGGAGATGAATCTGAGTTGTCAAGGAGACTTCAAATTTGAGGTGTGGTCTGTTGAGCTGTGGCTGTGACTCAAAATACATATTTGGTATTGCATTCAGCAATTCAATTTTCGAGTGTCAAGAATAGGTCTCTAAGCCCAAGTAGCGTTAGAGCTGTAGTGTGGTATTTACAAATACAAAACACATACGAAGCGTGATGTGGGGGTGCTTGTATGTAAAGCAAGGATTACTGAGTCATGTTAGGTGGTCCTTGCATTACCCGGTAAAGATGTCCTTCTCTCTTTCCAGCATTCAGCTTTGTGTACTCACTTTCTGCCAGCCCTTCACAAAGGTGGAAGTTGAGGTAAGTTGTTCAAAATGTAGCCTGAGAACCTGAGATCTGGCCTTTCCTTTCCTTGTGAGTTTTCAATCTAGAGAGACCAGATGTGGAAAGATTGGAAGTTAAGTCCTCCAACTTGAAAGTAAGCCCTGGTCTTTGGCAAATTATGTATCTAAACCCACGCTGTTAGAGTTAGCCCTTAGAATTGCATTAAGAGATACAATTTCCTAACTTCTGGGGACTTGCAGCATGTCACCACGCTGGCTGGCCTGATGTGCATCACCTGTTCCTATGTTTTTGTTCCGTTGAGTGCTGATCTCTGCCTGGTTGCATGATACACCTTCACACCCTGACCAGAGGGGCTTCAGTAGCTGGTGGAGCCACACAACTTCTTGGAGAAGGATGTTCTATGAAAGCGGAGAGGTGCTGCTTTGGGGTTGTGGGAGAGACACAGATTCAGAAACCATCACTTTCAGAATCAATCTGCGCACAGAAAGCCTAAGGAAATCGTATGATAAGAGCCGTGAAGGTGGCTTGTATCATCATTCATAGGACAGTTTTTCAGTTTGAGTTACAGTGGCAGGTGGGGAGTGGAGGAGGAATTAGAGTGTTCTGAAAATTCTAACCAGATTTCTGAGACTCTGAAGGTTGATTCCAAGAACTGTGCTGAGTTTCTAGGGATGACGGTGGAACGGACCCCTGAATTCAGAATATTGTTGGTTTTAGGAAAACCCTCAGGTAGCCTCTGAAGAGAGGAGGTCAGAATATGAATTCTCCAGACTCTTGCCTGGATTTTCCAATTGCATCTATAGGTTTCATAATGAAAACCTCAAGTTCACATACGTAACTCAGAGTCCTGAGTGGGGGCCAGGGCTCCAAGTGACAGGACTCTAATTTACATCACAATAATCCTTCTTCACTTTGTTAGGTAACTTAGCTGTTCAGCCATTTAGACGTTGTCATCAATACCAAGTGACATAGGAAGACAGGTTATATTTAAAGTAGTTTAACTTCAGTGAAATTTTTCGAGACTCGCAGCTTGTCCGCCTGCCTTGAAAATACCTGTTTATTCACTACATGCCACACCTCCCCACTTTTCAAACCAGTCAGTATCTCTCAGTGTGACCAGAAAACTCTCAATCTTGGGATATACTTAGATACTTCTAAAGGAAAAAAAAAAGAATCTGTATCCTAGTAAGTTTAGGAAGTACCAGGGTAAACAAAATAAATCAGATTTCTTTTCTCAGGACTTCTCAATACCTCTGAAATGTTTGACCACCAAACTCTTTTCCTCTGGATACCTCCAATGCCCAGTGTTCCATAGAATACACTTGGGGAAACCCTGTTTGAAAGAAATATCTTATTATGTTTAAGTACTCTGACTGAGCACTGCTCTTCCTTCTTAAATAGCTGCTTAGCTAGTTAGCCCTGTTTTCTTTCTCTAAAAAGTCCCCAGAAAACCCACACTTAAAACAGCCATACTGTCTTCTCCACAAATTCAGAATAAATATATATATTTATTATATGTTCCTTCCTCTAAATTTACCCCTCTTTAGCTAAGATCTAGTAATAGATGTGGAAATGCACATAGCACTGTGCATTTTTTTGTCTAGCACACGTGTCAGTGGTCAAACGAGGTTACAACAGAGGTATGCAAATTCTTCATATTTTTGCCCTGACCACTGTTACCACACTTCCTTTCCATGTCATGGATTTCTTTCTTTTCAATTACAGTATTTGCATTCTCCGACCAGTTCTTAGACCAGTTTGGATAACATTTTCTGCCAAGGAAACAATATATCCTTTGGTGGATAACTCCACACACAAAATGGCTTTCAACCAGTTTAAAATAGTTGAATAGGTAGGGATTTGATGAATAAGAATTGCAGTGCAGGGCAGGAAGATGGGAATGTGTGGACTTCCAATTGGATGTTCTTATTTTAATTAGAATTTTATTTTAGATTTATGAGGGGACTCCTCTAACTACTTCATGATTTTTGAATCGTTTAATTCCCCACTGTTTGGATGTAACTGGGAAATGTCTCCCAGCAGCCTGCCGGACACTCAGGGCACTGGAGAGCTGGGCGCTGACTCTGAGGCCCGCTCTTCACCACGTCAAAGGAAGCCCAGCCCACCTTGAGCTGCCCCGCACGCAGCTTGGTTAGAAGTCTCAGTGCACTTAGTTGCTACAATTTCAGTTGGCTTGGTTGTTCAGAAACACCAATCCTCTCCTTCCTTTTTCTTCAACACTGATAGAAATCCTAGGTATTATTTTTAACATATTTTTAGACCTCCTTGAATATTAATTAAGGAAACCTAATTCAAGAGGTATTATTCAAGCATAGGGTCTTAGCTTTATGGTGACCTGTGACTGGATTGTTATGAAAATGTCCTTTCAGACACCCTTGCTCTTGTGAGTCATGGGACATCTCAGTATGTTGAAGGCTGTATCCATCAGTTTCACAAGTGGCCTTTCATTAATGATGATTATCAGACTCTTTAATTACCAAAATCATCGATTATTCAAAGTCTAGAGAATATAATATTTAGGACTGTTTCCTTACCTCCTGTACCCACACCCTGCCCGCTTCCCCAACACAGACTTAGTTTTGAAAAGGTTATTATTTCCTTGACTCTTGGATCTTAAAAATATAGTAAGTTCCAGACCTCACATCCCATATAATTGGTCTTCTGGCCTCCTTGAATGGTGATGCCGTGTGTGTCTACAGAATGGTTCCACTGAAAGTTATTCTTTGAATCATAATGTGGCATAGTGGGGGTACTTAAAGCATCTTTTAATGGTCGCTTTTATCGGCCAGCTACTTCACAAGTATGACTTAACAAGCAGATGGCTTAGGGGCATAGGGAATAAGATAGCTAGTAGGGAACATCCCCAGATATGGCATAAATTAAGACCCTGCCAGTTTATCTCCTGAGAGAGACCATAAGCAAAGTCAGACTATATAGCACTATGCAGACAGCAGCTAGTTTCTGAACGGAAACACAGAGTTCGCAGAGACTGTACCATCAGTTTCCTTCATGGGCTATATCTTAGTTTACATTCAAAGTGTATTGACTTTAAAGCAACTTGTTAAAGTAAAGATACATAAAAATGACTTATCTATAGACATAGGGACTTTTTTTGGCTTTAGGAAAATTCCTTTGCAAAGCTTATAGTGAGCTTCCTATGACTGCTAGCATTAGTATCATTGAGATGAATGTGGAATTACAACTTGAGAAGCATGGACCATGTGTGAAACAGGAAGATATGATGGCACCAGGTCAGAAGGGGGTGTAAGAGGGCTGCCAAGCAACTGTGAGGTTCTGTTTAAGGCACTTGATCCTCGCCCATCACCTTGACATTAAAGAAATAGACTCAGTGTTAGGATCACATCTTTTGGCACATCTGCACAGATTAGAAAGATGAAGGAAGATCTTTGGCAAAACAAACAAAAAAGTATTTTTATATTGGGAGACAGACAGCATGGTCACCTTGGGAAATAATTTTTCAAGCAGCTCTGAGGACCCGAGCATGAATTTGTAGTAGCCTCAGCCAATAAAGTTTGGTACTTTTGTTTAGCATCCCTTGGTTAGCATCACTGTCTAACAGGAGTGGGAAGGCAGGATTAGAAGAGGTGACCGAGTTTGTGGTTAGCACCATGGATGTGGCAGAAGTGACAGATTCTAGGTGACAGGCCACATGGAAGTGTCTGACACCCGATGTCCAGCGTAGATGGATGTTGCCAGGAGGAAGTGGATAGAAAGGGATGAATAGGTCCTGAGAGTGACCATCAGGTACTCACAGTCTCTGCAGGACCAGGTTGGGGAGAAGTAAATGAGGGGAAACTGAATGAAGAACTTGTCAGAGGAGGAGATTAGAACTGTGTGTTTTTGTCATGGCCCAGGTGGAGCTGAGAAGGATATCTGTGGCGAAGTGAAGGGGCTGTGAAATCAAGATGTCAGAGGAGTCATCAGTGGAGATACTGGGGACAATGAGAGAAGATAAATGTGGAAAGGAAATCTGGGGTCCCTGGGGTCACTGGGGTGTTTAGATGTGTGTTGGGGTTCAGTAACAGATAATGGTAGTCCCCTCTCTCTGGCCGACCTTCCTTCCCAAATGAAGGCTGTGTTCCTGCTGTGAGCGTTGAATGCCTTTGTACAAATTGTAAATGTGATACAGAGGGCAAGGTCTCATCCAAGGAGAGGTGACTTCTTATGAGAATTGCCATTCAATTGCTTCTCAGGAGGCATGGGGCCTCCAAGACCAGTGACTGTCAAATCCAAACTTTTAATTATTTTGAACTCTCAGAATTTTTTTCTCAAGAATAAATGCCATGCCAATATGAGAATTATTAAAAATCATTTTATGGAAAATATTACCTGCACTAAGAAGAACCAAGCCCATAGTTCATTGTATTATATTTGGTTAACAGTGTAACAACACTTTGTATTTAGAGTTTTCAGTATGTGCTTTTATGACCTACCAATCAAGTGTATTATAAATGATCTTTTAGCTTTTTTTAAAATGAAAGATTATATGGCAATTTAAAACTTTGATTGCACTATTTTGTTAGATGTTCTGTGAGCGTTGATTTTAACGTACTGTTTTCTTCCTTGGGTTTCTTCCTTGGCGAATAGAAGAGATTTTACTAGAACAGGATGGAGGGAATTTTTAGAAATATTTGCACAGATTGCCTGTTGCTCTGGATATATAAGTGATGTGGAGACCTCTGGTGGCTTAGTTTATTTTTCCATTTTAAAGAGTGACTGGAGACTAAGTGAAAAGCTAGACTTAGAACTCCAGAGGGAAAGGACTTCAGAGATCATCTAGTCAAAATTTTTCATTTGACGAAAGAAGGAACTGAGGCCCATATAGGCTAAATGACTTTTCTGGAGTCACACAGCAGAGCCACGGCAACAACCCAGGCCCAGGGCTTTCTGCAGCATTCCGTTGTCCTCTTGGAGAGGCTGTTAATAAAATAAATGTGAGAAGTAAAATGACATCTAGCACATTAACCTATGATTCATGTCCATTTTCTCCTAAAAATGCTGCTTGGGTCCATACTGGCCTCTTCATCCTCCCTTGGATTCCTGGTCTTACCATCGCTCACAGGGTGATTGAAGGAGTCTCTGGGGGGTTCTCCCTGCTCTTACGTCTTTTTCCTCTTGCGTTCATCTATTCCTTGCTACCCAAGCTACTGCTCAAAAACTTGGACCTAGTCATTTCACTCCCTTGCTTAAACTTCATCTCTGAGTCACCATTGCCCGTAGGCTTCTCAAACATGATGAATGAGATTTGAAAACAGCTCCATGTGAGTCCAAAAGTGATGCTATTTATACAGATCTTTTCTTTCCTTTCACATCGTGACCCTGCCTTTTTCTGTGGTCTTAGTTATACTGTTTTTAACCTTGTGGAGCCACATTCTTTACCTGTCGAAGAGAAATGGTAGAATTTGCCTCAAGGAATGGTTGAAAGAGTTAATCATATAAAGCCCTTTATGTGAAGTGCCCAGCACACAGTAGGTGCCTGATGGATGGCCACTCTTATTGGTAGACTTAGCTCACTGTATCATAAATTTCTACTCCACTGCAGGGAGAGCTCCTGGAGTGCAGGCCTTCATTGTCGTGTCCTTGGGGCCTAGTGCAATGCCTGGCATATAACTGGTACTTAAGCAGTATCTGTTGAGTGGAAATGGGCCATGAAATCTTGAACAAGTCATTTAATCTTTGTGAACCCCAATTCCTTATGACTAGAACTAGAAGGATTAGGGAAATGAAATAACGCATATGAAGCACCTAGCGTGGTACCTGGTTCATAGTTACAATTCAGTGACCAGTGCCTACTGGCAAGATCATGTTCATCCTCAAATAGTCAAGATCAAGTATTAGCTCTTCTGTACAACCTCTTTGGCTGCTTTTCCCAGCCTCCTGGCCAAATTAACTATTTCTTATCCTTCGCTCTCATACTCCAGGAAGGATGGTTCTATGGGGAAAACGAGGGTTTTTGAATCTGACAGCCTTGGGCTGAGTCCTGGTCACATAACGTGTATAAAGTTAAGTAAGTTAATTAAGCTTTTAAGCCCTCCCACTAAGGGTAATGATAGTTAGCATGTGTTGTGTCGGTCTATTCTACTAAAATATGGATCTTCTTGAGAGCAGGAATTAGGGTCCTATTCATCTTGCCTGGTGTGTAGGAGATGCTCAAAACATTTGCAATGACATAAACATAGCACCAAAACCTCATTAATGTTAGAAAACTATAGATAAAAACAAAGGCAGTACAAATGAGGTATCACAGAATATCAAGTGAAGAAAAAAAGTGAAGTTTATAATGATAAAGCCAAATATGGTGTTAAGCAAAAGGTAGAAAGCCCATATAAGAGCTGAAATACAAGCAGGAGAAATGACTAAACATAAAGTTTGATCAAGTGATAAAAATATGACCAATATAGGAATGGATAGAGAAGATAAACTATAAAAAACAAAGTATTACAACTAATAACATTTTCACACAAAGAGTGGGTGGTAGAAAAGGCAGCTTTGAGAATAAGATCTCAGTAGCTACAGTTTTACAACTTCCAGAATTCCAGGCATCTGTTGGCTCATTTCATCCTTATGACAACCAGGGAAGGGAGTGATCATGGCCCTCTTTTTAGAGTCGAGGAGACAGTATAGAGAAGTTAAAGGTCATGCCAGTAACACACAGAAAGACCCAGGGCTTGGATTCTAATCTCTTGAGTCCACACACAGTGCTCTTTGCATTATTTCGTGTAACCCATGTGCTAGAAAGGCAGGGGGCTACATACAACGACAGGTAGCTTATAAATGGATTTATTTAGCATTTAATGTCTTGGGCCTCACAAGTGTAATGGGAAGATGTATTTGTCTTTCAGTTTATGCCCGTTCAAGTACCCAGTGATGAAGAAAAAAACGATCCTGTCCTTTTTGCTAGTAGAATCCGGAATTTAATGGCAGAGTAAGTATCTGTATGTGGTTATAATCGGTAAATTGTTTTTAAATTATTGGCAAGGGGCATTTAATATCGGTTGAAGGTTTGTTTTTTCTTTTTTTAATTTTTTTTTTTAAAAATGGAGGTACTGGGGATGGAGCCCAGGACCTCAAGCATGCTAAGCATGTGCTCTACCACTGAGCTGTACCTATCCCCCCATGAAGGACATGTTGATGGCCTGTCGATGTCCAACAAAGCTAATGCTGTCTGAGTGGTTCCTGCCGTGGCCCATTTTCTATCTCCTCAGCCTCCATATGGCTGCCAAGACCCGGTGTCTCAAAGGCATTAGTGATTACAGCACCAAAGAGGAGAAAGTTTGTAAGGGAATGCAGTAGGTGCATAGAAAAGGGGAAAGTCACCCCCTTAAGGGATGGCTATAAACTTAGCATTTAGAAGCTGCATAACATAAGGCAGATATTTTCCTGCACGGAAGGGAGTTTTAACTGGCCACTGTTCCTATCAGATGTATCACCTCTCCTCCTGTAATGAAAGGATGTGTTATCCCACCACCCAAGCAGCCTCAGAGCCCTCCGGGTGTGCACCTGCTCCGTAGGCACCACCTCCCTCAATCATTTCCTGCAGTAGGTATGGATCTAATAAGCCAACAGTATTTATTCTCTTAGTAAAAATTCAGTGAGAACTCTGAATTTAGCTTTATATCTGAGTTTGGCATTATAAGCAAATATTCATATGTTTGATATGCATACTATATATTAATATTTCCCAGGAGAATAACTTTATTTTCAAGAAAGAATACATGTTTCAGTGTTCAGCCGAAAGCTTTGTTGCTATGTGTCCCTACATGTACTTAATTTATCTAGTTTCCAGACCAGCTACAAAGTTTGCTTTGATGTCTTCCACTTTTTTCCCTTATGTTTTCAGACCAGCTTGTGTCCAACAGTTAGGAACGAAGATGAGTATTAGGAACTGAGAGAAATTATGTCAGATACTTTGACTTCCTCAAGTGTGTCTAAAAACAGGACGGATTAGGTTAGATGGCTTTTCCCTGGGCTTGGAGGCCTGGAGGTAGAAGGGCTTTGGATGAAGAGTAAGAAAGACCTCAACTGGCTGTCCAGTCTTGGACAAGTCTCCTCCAAGACTGCTTTCCACATGTGTAAAGGCAGAATTCTAATCCTTGCCTGGCCTTTCTCATGGCTTTGGTTATTATGAGAGTCAAGTAGGAAAGTACATGACAACAGCATCTGAAAATGGTGAAGAGCAAAGTCGGTCTAAGGCAGTGGTGTTTACCACCAGTAAGCATTCACCAAGTGCTGTGCTAGGCTATTTGCTTGTGCTATCTAGTAGCAGAATCTTCATAGCAGCTCCGAGGCAGGTGCGGACCCTGGGGCTCTGAGGGCTAAGTGGTTTGCCCAAGATGATGGCAGATAGTGGGGCTCGGGGCTGGAACTCAAGTCCACATTCCCTGTTGCCAACACCCGAACTCTTAACCATTATGTTCTGCTGTTTATCATTATAATTCCTGAAGTGTTTTTCATTTTTATTTTCCTTGTATAATCTTATACCAAAAAAGCTATTAATCAAAAACAGCCTAGTTGCAGGTAGGAAAAAAAATGCTTTGTTCATATTGCATTCGTTTAAAATTTAATGTTCTTAGCGATGATTCAACAAAAATCAAATAACAGTTGATGACATAATTTTATGATTTTTTCACTGAATATTTGTGAATAAAAGTTTAACGAAGAGGGATCTACAGGAAATTATTTTATCAACCACATAGGTTTTCTTCTTGTCACTCACTGTTTTTTCTCAAGTTCTTATTAATACATTTTTTCCAAGTCTAGTTCACTAGTATTCGGTCTCTGAGCAGGAGGGATTATGCTCTCCTCTGAGGATGGAGGATGTTTAGGTTTGGAAGAAATAAGAGTTTATTATCAGTTCTTATCAGTACTTTTTGAAGATTGCAGTGTAGCAAGAAGGCAATCTTCAGTCTCAAAAGATGAAAAAATGCAGATGCCTAGCGATTTGGATAGACTGTTCACTTATAATATGTCCAGTTGCCATTGATCCTTTTAACTGGCACTTTCACAGGCATTCTTAGTTGGTCCTTACAATAACCCTGTGAAGTAAGTATTCCTGTGTGCAGATGGGATGAGTGAGGCTTAAGTTAAGTGCCAACAGGTCCACCGCTGGTAAAAGACTCCACTAGGACTTGAACCTGTCTTCTCCTTACTCTCCATGGACTGAAGTCAACTGTTCTTATCATTATAGTTAAAACACAAAATAAAAATGACCATTGGCAGAAGCACACAGACATGAGGAGATTAACTCGGGCCACAGTAATTTGTGAAGTAGAGAAATATGTCACTTTGGCAAAAGAGCCAAAGCTACTGGTTCAAAAAGTAGTAAATATTTTTCCATTTACTGTCGCTTGTTGACCAATTCCAGCCTAATGAAAAATCATTACCTTTTTTAAAAAGTTGAATTTGTGGGCTTTTTAATACTTTTAGAGCATTGGAAATCCCAGTGACAGATCACACCTATGAAGACTGCAGGTTGATGATTTCAGCAGGACAGCTAACATTGCCTATGGAAGCTGGCTTGGTGGAATTTACCAAAATCAGCCGGAAATTGAGGTAAGCGCATTTTAAAACCACTGTACTTTCATAAAGATGTCCGAAAGAGATCTGAAATGCTGTGTGTTTATTTTCTCTGGTTTCATGAATGCTCAACTCTAGAACCTCCATGGGGTCTGTTAAGGAAGACAGGGATGTGAATTTGTCTCCCATTTAGTTCATCTAGTTTTGTTTTTTCAAGAACAGTTAACTCAAAAATAAGTGTGTTGATCACAGGAAGAGACCAAGAGATAGTAAATATGAGTAACAGCAGATCTGCTTCCCGACTTAGAAATGACTCAGAGTAGTTAGTCAGTCCTGCTACCTTCTTACAAGAAGGATGGCGTAATTAGATGGTCCTGGCATGAGGTGGTCAGAACTTCTCATGTGAAGTCTGAATTGGCTTGTAAAGCAGCAATTCTGACCATCACTGAATTTTAAATCCTTCCCCAGATAACCTTTTCCTTCTGAGTATATAATTTATTTTTTAAGGCAGAAACACTCCTTTGTGATTCTAGGATCTAGTTTAAACTGTTTAGAACATTCCTTTTGAGCTATCTGGTATGAGGGTGTAACTCCCACATCCCTCTCTGATTACAAGTCATTCTGTTTGCAGCTCCATCAGGGAGCTGCAGAATTTATTCATTCAGTAGACCTTGGCGTCCTCTGTAGGAGGGAGCTGCAGAACCAGTTACTGTATTGAAGTTCAGTATTACAAAATAATTTTGGTAACTGATACAGCAAATATTATTTATATCTTCTAGACAATAGTGTTTTTTTAAAAAGTATATATATTTTTAATACGTTTTAAATTTTGGTTTTTTTTTACAGTAATTGTTTTTGGGGTGGGAAGGTAATTCGATTTTTTTTAATTTTTTTTTTTAATGGAGGTACTGGGGATTGAACCGAGGACCTCGTGCATGCTAACCACACACTCTATTACTGAGCTATACCTTCCTCCAAGATGACAATGTTTTGATGTTATATTTTTACACTATTCCTATAGATTTGAAAAACTTAGTCACTGAAGCTGGATATAGAAGTATTTGTTAAGTCACCTATTTAATTCTACAAGACAAAGACAAGCAGGCTGTGATGTACACTACAGTATATTTTCCAGTGTTTTAAAAGTGTTTTGTAACTAATATTAGAGGAAGTGCACATAGTCTGATGCATTTCCCATCACCACGTTTTGTGAAATGTGAGTTCGTTGTCAGCCAGAAAGCTCCTTGAAAGCAAGAATCATGTTTTTTTTTTAACAACTCAGTAAATACTGTTGACTTACTAAGTAATACTGGGATTAAATGCGATTTCGCACTTTCTTCTCATGTGTCATTTATTATTTTACCTCATTGCTCTTCTTCCCAGTTACTTTTCTTTCCCTCACATATTTGGGACCATTACAGTTAATGCTAATACCCTTTAAAAAATTAGAAGCCTGTATACATGGTCAATATGTGCTTTAAAATATCCATTTTATTTTCCTTTTCAAATGTGACACTGAAAGTATTTTTCCCTCAGACAAATGAATAAAACTGTGCTCATAAAATGTCCATGGGGACTCTAAGGAGCTAGTAACATGTCTTTATGATTCTTTGTCTGTGCAGACTGGATTGGGACGGCATTCGTAAGCATTTGGATGAATATGCCACTATTGCAAGTTCCTCAAAAGGAGGAAGAATCGGGATTGAAGAATTTGCGGAGTATTTAAAGTTGCCTGTTTCAGATGTCTTGAGACAACTTTTTGCACTCTTTGACAGGGTAAGTTGAAGCTTAATTTTAAACACGCAAACATTTTTATTTTGCAAGTCCCCACAGAGTACAAATCAGTATGGCAGGTGTTAGAAAAACTTGTGAGGTCCCTGTGAGAAGAAGCAAGCTGAGCCTCTGGTTTAATTGCATGACTTTTGTGCTTTCTTTTCCCCTTAGTGGTAGTAGTAGTAACTAATATAATAATTGTGTGTCTGTATATGGCAACAGATCGGAAATAAATATTGTGACCACATAACCATGTCTGTTACATGGAATCAAAAAGGCTTATACAGCTAGCAAGAATTTTAAAATGTACGGCAAAATTCCTACATTGATGACATGGGTGGTATATTCTTTTCTGAAGGTTCCTGGACTTCCCCCCAAACATCTGAAGACCAGGTTGATTTTATTTTATTTATAACAGAGTTTTCAATTAAAACTTGACCTGTTCATCCTTATATTGGGGTTCACGTTTCTGCTTACAAATATGTAAGGACATGGAGTTAGATGATTGAATTGTCAGAAAGTTTCCTTTGGAAAAATGTATCAAGATTTCCAACTCCTCTCTTTTTTATTTGTTTTTTAATATATGAAACTGACAATAAAGTTCACTTTTTGGTTACAGTTTTATGAGTTCTAACCAATGTGCAAAGGCATGTAACTATCACCACGTTCAAGATACACAACAGTTGCGCCCCCCCCCCGCCCCACGCACACACAGATTTCCCTGTAGTTACTCTTTTGTGGTCAAGCCCTTCCCTCGCCCTTAACCCCTGGCAATTACTCCATCCCTATGGGTTTACCTTTTCCAAGTGCCATATAAATGGAATCATAGCAGCATATCCTTTTGAGTCCAGCACCTATCACTTAGCATAATGCATCTGAGATTCAGCCATGTTGCTGCAGGTGTCAGTAATTTGTTTTCTTTCATTACTGAGTGGTATTCCATTGTGTGGATGTGCCATATTTGGTGTATCCACTCCCCAGCTGAGGAAGATTTGGTTTGTTTCCAACTTGCAGCATTCATGAATGAACTGGTCTAAGCATTCGTGTATAGGTTTTTGTGTAAATGCAGGTTTTCATTTCCCTTGGATAAATATTTGGAGTTGTGATCTTTTTATTTTGCATTCATTCCTGGGGGATATTTTGGTCAGACATATAGAGAGAATTTGGAGTTGATCGTTCTTCCCTGTCAACAATTTAGTAATGGTGCCCTGCTGTCTTCACTGCCTGTCTAGTTCTTCTTCAAGTCCTTCCCACTATGGTATTTTGTCCAGATGTCGCGCTTTTGGTGTTGATCAGAATTTCTTATTGTAATGAGAGAAGGAGAGATAGGCTGAACTGGGCTCATTCCATCCTGGCTGCCACCAGATGTCCCAGTTCTCTGTTAGCCACTGGGAAAAGACATTTTGCAAAGAAATTATAGCTTGATGACAGAAATCAGGGCAGAGCTTTTCCTTCTTACCCAGAGAAGACTCATGCTCCTAATGACTTACTCTGGGGTCTCTTAGATGAACTACCCGTAACATGATGCAGTCAAGCAACCTTCTTCCATACAGAGTGCCCAGGCCTCTCTTCTGGGCTTGCAGCCTACAAATAACCCTTCCTCATCCATGAAATGGTAATGTGCCACCGCAGTGGTGCTGCTATTAAGTGTAATGAAGATTTAGGGGAAAGGAGAGGTAAATTATTGGATGTCACAGTGCACGTGGGGAAAATAGAGGCACTTTTCACTTGTACTTCTGTGAGATTCATACAGTATCTTCCAGTTTGGCCCTGGAAACCATGCATTGCAAGCAATTTTAAATTAAGGTTTCTATAAATATGGACTTAGTGACAGGAAGGAATGTGGCAGGGACATACCAATAAGGACAGGAGATGGGGAATTGGGAAATGATGTGAAACAGGGACCAAGAAGTTCAGTGCACATCATAGACTTTATGCTCATCAGGATTTTTAATCAGGATTAAAAATAATCTCTCCAGAGGTTGCCCTGTCTTTCAGGCATCAACCTGTCATAACAACAGTAACAGGATTGTTATGACACCAGTTGCGTCTTTTGATGACTGATGATACCTGCCCATGGCCCCATTGTTTCTGTAGCACTGGGAAGTATGGGAAGATTTGAAAGTGGAAAGGGAGTGTGAACCAGGGATTAAAATAACCCCCAGTTAGCCAGACTGATTCACTCTGAACTAGAGAACGCAGTTGGCCCCAAGCAGTTAGGAGACCCATGAGCCTTTGTGGCCTATGTGGTCGATCACATTTCTACACGGACTACTTCAGTCAGCTCACATATCAATTCCAATTGTGAGTTTTCCTCACTCCTTTGTATAGTGTGCAGACTTGGCTTTAGCTATAGACCATGAGTTGCTCTTTAAAACACTTTTCTTTTCATCTCCAACATACTGGAAGGCAGAGAAAATAACCTGGATTATTAAAGACCAATGCATTTGACCTTTCTTTCTTTCCATCTTCCCTTCCTTCTTTCTTTTTTCTTCTCTCTATCTCTATCTTTCTGTCTTTCCTTTTTTGTTTTTAACATAAACTGCATGTCTATGCCTGTGAAGATCTGCTTTGTTTTGAGAAGCTGAATTATGCAATTTTTGCCACACCCTGTGCACATCCCCACTTCCATGCTAGGCTCCGTTCCCCTGTCTCTTTAAGGGATTTAGCTGGAGAATGTTCCATGGGAAAGACAGAGAAGTTCCCTAACGTCATAGTTTGTTTCTGTCCGAGTAGCTTATCTTGCTAAACTCAATGCTTAATGAGGGGTGGAGGAGGAAGAGGGTGGGAGAGAGGGAGGGCAGGGTGTTCCTCTCGCTCTTTCAATAGCTGTAAGTTTTCGCAGTGCAAAGGGCTCCCACAAGCCCCTCCCAGGTGCCTTTCCCACTTTGCCCTCCTTTTCCCCTTCCCTCTTTTCTTCTCTCTGCCTCTCCCCAAATCTGGTGCAGTTGTGGTTGGTATGTTGGGGAAAGGGAGAGGAGTATCTCCTCTCTCCACATTCTCTTACTTTTTCTCCCCACATCCATTCTTGGCTAATCTACAAAAACTTCATAATGGTTTTAGTCTCAGTTTGTCCTAAAAAAACAACAAAAACAAAAACAAAGAACCATGTTGTCCATTCAATTCCTTCTGACAGTCTGACGTGTTCTTTTAGATGGTCAGTTATTTGATGGCAGATAATTTAAAGGTCCAACAGAAATGGAGCATTCATGCTCATTTGGGATAATTCCCCTTGGAGAGGCCTCACCTGTTTGGGGGGGAAAAAAAGAAAGAAGACACTTTCTATCTCTAGGTTTCATTCAGCTCCCTTATTTTCCTGAATGTGCACTGATCTTGCTGGATCAGAGGCTAACTGGGATAGTCAGAAGTCCAGATGAGTTAGAGTTGAGAGCTAAGACAATAGCTTTTAAAACAGTGGCTTCTCAGCATTTTTATGTATTCATAATTCAGTTTTCAATACTAGATTTTTTTGCCAGCACGCTCGAAGGGATTTAAACACACTTGATGGGACTGAGAAGTAACACTGGCTAATTCAGAGATAATTATGACACAGTCATTTTCATAGTTGTAATGTCTCAGATTGTCCATACAGCATCACTTCATGCCATTCGTCAGCGCTGTGTTATTGAGCAGAACCATGTGCTGCCCTGCCAGAAGTATCTTATATACTGTATACCATGAGACAGAGTCCTCAAATATTCCAGCCCACATATCATCTTTGTTGCTAGCTCGACAGTACACCATGTTATCTGCCTCTTACTAGTGGCAAGTCACGTCTCATCCACACCTTATGATACAATCAGCATAATGTTCCATCTGATACACATCACCCTGATGGGATGTATATTCACTGGTGGCAAAGCTGTGTATCTCAGGGATCAGCAGACTTTTGCAGTAAAGAGCCAGATAGTAAATATTTTTGACTTTGTAAGACATTTGGTCTTAAACTTTCAGTACAGCTTATACAACTACATAAAAAAGTTAATCCATTCCACTCAGAAAGATTGCTCTGTTTATTTCCAATCACTTAAGCCATGTGAGTGTCTTAACTCTCAGCACGAGCAGAAAATCTGCATGATATAACACCCTACCTTCTCTAACAGGAAGGAGCAAGCCAGGGTGCTTGTTATTGTTGGCACTCGTGATTTAACACTTGAACTCATGCCAGGAACAGGGCGGACAGGAAGAACTCGGGATAAAGAAACGCATTCATTCCACACACTGCGAAACAGTAATAAAAGATCTACAGACGTTTGCAGTAGCCAAAAATGCTGGATTGTCAAAGTGCTAAAGTACACACACACTTTTCCTGTATATATTTAAACAAAGTACATAGTAATGCCGGAAGAACTAAGTACCAGTTAGAAGGCCGAAATGGGAAAAATCATAATAGTTTTCACATTTTTTACAGAACAGAAGTAGTAACCATCTCTCTAAATTTTATTAGCCTGTAGTCTGTTGTGTGCACAATGGTATTGGTAAAAAGAGAGCGTGAGCTCATGCCAGACTATAGCTGAGTAACTAGAAACCAGCCTCTTTCATCTGTGAAGGTGAATAATACACCACTGGTTAGAACTGGGGAGGATTTCAACACGAAGTAGACAGATTCAGTGAGAATAAAATGATCCTCTTTAAATCAGGTGAGGAACAACGGTCACTATAAGTGCTGACTGCAGCCCTTCAATCCAGTCCTTAAACTTTACCAGCATGCTTTGTTTTCACTGGCTTAGGAAATATAGCAGGGTCAGCAAACTACAGCTGATGGACCAGATCCAGTCTGATGCCTGTTTTGTAAATAAAGTTTTATTGGGACACCGTCATGCCCACTTGTCTACGTCTGTGGCTGTCTATGGCTGCTTTCACAGTGCAGTGCCAGAGGCGAATGGTTGCAACAAACATTGAAGTCTTCTGTCTTTTAAATTTGCAGTTCAGGTTTGATATGGACTGTAGTATTTCATAGCTCATGTGAAAAGAACTCATCTGGATTCCAGTCTCAATTAATC